CCCAGCTACTCGGGAGACTGAAGGAGAATTGCTTAGACCTGGGAGGTGGAGGTTGCAGTGAGCCGAGATCACGCCACTGCACTCCAGCCTGGGCGACAGAGAGAGACTCCATCTCAAAAAAAAAAAAAAAAAAAAAAAAAAAAAAGAGAGGAGGGATATTACAAAATGATTTTTTAAAAGAAGGTTCAATTTGCCAGGAAGGTGTCAACATTCTGTATTTGTTTGTACCTCAGTTACAGCCTCAAATATTTAATGCAAAAGTTGACAAAACTACAGGGAAGAAAGAAACCCACAATCATCTCGGTACTCAATAGAATAATTAGACAAAATTTTTAAAAGACAGGAAAAATATAGACATTCTGAACCACACAATTAGCACTCTCGATCTAATGGATTACCCAGAACACTGACCCCATGACTGCATGACACATTCTTTTCAAGACAAAAATTGGTCATATGGTGTCTTTTAAATAACATCAAAAAATAGAAATCATTAAAGTACGTTCGCAGATCCCAGTGCAACTAAGCTAAAAATCAATAACAAAAAGATAACTAGAAAACCTCCGTATGTTTGGAAATTAAGAAATATACTTCAGAGAATATGGGAGGGAATAAGATACAGGACCCAGGTGGAAGGTTGCTTTTGCCAAGAGGAAGGACCCCCTTTTTGTTAACCTCCGCATGTCTGGGCCATAGCTGCACCGCCTCCCAATGCAATTTTGAACAAGCTGAATTAATCATCCTGGGAAGTGTTCAAAAATGAGTCCAAATGGTGGACTCCAGGACTTCCTTGCTGACTTTCTTACTTTGATCAACTAACTCTATGGCATGATCTTAACAGTTGTAGTTCTCAAGGTTCCCTAAAAGGGAACTTCTTGTTCTCTCCAAGTTACAGACCCATCACTGAGGGGCAGGGAATGAGGTTAACTCCTCCACAAACTAAGTGCTGCTCAGGTCCACATCTAGATGTTTCGGTCCCACAAGCACCCAGAGCCTGACATTATTTTGTAAAAACAGATCCTGACAGAGCCAGGAGCAAGAAGAGCCGTCAACCCCATCTCTGTGAGGGAGCTGGGGCTTGGCAGGCACAGGCTTGTGTAGGGCCACAATGCTCCTCTGAATGGATTTTGGGTTAACCAGAGAGGAAAAACTCAAGTTCGAGGTCAGAGGTCTTTTTCCAAGATGGACAGGTGGCAAAGGGGCCTATCAGAATCACAAGAGAAGCTTCATGAACATGAAATATTCTTCCCTGGGCCATTCCAGGCCACGGACTGCAGGTGTTCCATCTTTCAGCCCTGAAAACTCTCTGCCTACTTCTTTTCTTTTTCACATGAAATCTTATCAGGGTTAACAGGTGAAATTGGAAGCAGTGAGAGCCCTGGAATCCCACTCTCTTGGCTACCCCCGCTCTCCAAACACCACCATGGCGCCTGGCCACAGACATCCTGAACTTTTAAAAGAGTATGTGTAACCAAATACCTATTTCAACCAAAAAAAAAAAGTCTTGAGAAAGTCTAGCTTTGAGTAAGGCAACTTCCTGGTACACGCTCCAAAGTAAACCTGATGCAAAATGTATGAGTGAGGAAACGGGCCACAAAGAGTTATTAATTATAGACCTGCTAAAAACAGCGAATACTGGTGACACTCGTAAAGTAAAAAGTGGCCACACACACACAGCCACAGCCCTTTCTTTGGGGTTAACAGTTATCAGTGGCCAGTCCAGCCTGCTCTATTTTTTGTTGTTGTTGTTTGTTTGTTTTTGACAGAGTCTCGCTCTGTTGCCAAGGCTGGAGTGCAGTGGCGCAATCACGGTTCACTACAACCTCCATCTCCCCGGTTCAAGTGATTCTCCTACCTCAGTCTCCCAAGTAGCTGGGATTACAGGCATGCACCACCATGCCTGGCTAATATTTCTGTATTTTTTTTAGTAGAGATGGGGTTTTACCATGTTGGTCAGGCTGGTCTTGAACTCCTGACCTCAAATGATCCACCTGCCTCAGCTTCCCAAAGTGCTGGGATTACAGGCATGAGCCATCACGCCTGGCCCAGCCTATACTATTTTGGAATAACAAAGTTCTTCCGTCTGTAGATAGAACGTTTGTCCTACAAACAGCTCATCTAAAACAGTCTGACATCACGTAACAATGATAAAATAGGGAGGGAGGGCCAACCCATGATCCCCTCCTCCACATCCACTGCCTCCCAGAAAAGCTTTCCCTGATGTGACTTGATAGGATGGTCTCAGCTCAGGCTGCGGATGCTGTTCAATCCATCAAAACAACAGCCCCGGCAGGCCATCTTACATGTTTGTATACCCCAGGTTCTGATTCCACAGGAGGGACAGGCTCTGCTCACGTCAAAAACATTAAAATGCACCCAGCCTCCCACATCCAGTCGTTTCCGTTTAAACATTTCAAATGAACTGTATCACTCTGCTTTTCAAACAATTATTTATTTTGCCCAGTTTTTGGTTGTTCAAATTTTTGTTTGTTTGTTTGGGGACAGAGTCTCACTGTGTCACCCAGGCTGGAGTGCAGTGGTGCCATCTCAGCTCACCACAACCTTGACCTCCTGGGCTCAAGTGATCCTCCCCACTCAGCCTCCTGAGTAGCTGAGACTACAGGTGCACACTACCATACCCAACTAATTTTTTTTGTTTTTTTTTTTTTTTTGTAAAGGCAGGGTCTTACTATGTGGCGCAGGCTGGTCTTGAACTCCCTGGCTCAAGTGATCCTCCCACCTTGGCCTCCCAAAGTGCTGGGATGACAGGCATGTGCCAATATGCATGGTCTGTTGTTCGAATTTTGGATCCAAGAATATTTTCTCAGGTCTCAAACATTTTTGAGATCCTTGAAAATCTTGGGGATTCCATGTATTGCTGTTATCCCTAGTGCCCATCGGATAAATCAGTCCTGCCCTGTGAAGCTCACTGCAGGGTTTACTTGTGAGGAAAACATTGAGGACAGCGTTTGTTCTACTAAGCAGTGTCCTCTCTGTGTGGACCTTGAGTTCCTTGAGCACAAGGGCTGTGTGGTCTTTCTCACCCCCAGGTCCCCACACCAAGAGCCTGGCCTGGCATGCAACTGTTTAATGTTCAACTAGTGGTAATGCCTAAACTGGACTTCTGTGCGCTACCTGAAAATCACCCTTCCTAGGGCATGTTGACCCCATTCCCCAATCCAGGAACACAGGCCACCACTCTTTTATATCTTTGAGCAAATTAGAAAAAAGAAATGCCTTCCCTGGGCTGTTACACTCCACTAGGAAATCCTTCCTTGGGGCTTACTCACGCCTTCCACGTCTTTCCACAGAGTTGGAGTCCACCCCTCACCCTTACCAGGCCCATACATGTGCAGGAACACATCCACACACGGCAGGCTGTGTGCACACAGACGATTCCCTGGCCTTTATAGGTGCTATTCCTTTGACTTGAAAATCCATCAATTCTAATCTGCACATACAAACTTCAGCACCCAGGCCAAATATCACTTTCTGTGTGATTCCTCCCCCTACACCTCTCAGGCAGGTTGCATCGCATCCTCCTTTTTATTCCCATCACGGTGGAAGGTACCCCTATTTGAGTCTTGCCAGGTTGCATCAAATTTCTTTCTTTCACGTTTGGTTCCCTGCTGAACTGTGTTCTCAAGGGGAAGAACCGTGTCTCAGTCATCTCAGTCTCCAATGCCTAGGATGAGACCTCTTTTTTTTTTTTTTTTGTGAGACAGAGTCTCACTCTGTCGCCCAGGCTGGAGTGCAGTGGTGCCATCTCGGCTCACTGCAAGCTCCGCCTCCCGGGTTCACGCCATTCTCCTGCCTCAGCCTCCCGAGTAGCTGGGACTACAGCTGCCCGCCACCACGCCTGGCTAATATTTTGTATTTTTAGTAGAGACAGGGTTTCACTGTGTTAGCCAGGATGGTCTCAATCTCCTGACCTCGTGATCTGCCTGCCTTGGCCTCCCAAAGTGCTGGGATTGCAGGCATGAACCACCGCGCCCGGCCAAGACCTTTTATATACATGGTGGGTTTTCAATAAATGTTTTAGACTGAATGCAGAACTCGAGTCAAGTGACTCCTCAGCTCGAAATCTGTACAGAACCTTCCCCTTTGCCTCCTGACTTTGTTTCAAACTCCTCCACCAGGCATGTGGAAGCTCAGTCCACAGCTCTCCGCTAGCCTCCTCACCTCACCCACGTGGGCTCACCTGGGCTTCCAGGTGCTGCTGGTACAGCCCACCTCTGACACCTCCTTACCTCTGTGTCTTTACTCATCTGTCCCTCTACCTACAGTGCCATCTTCCCCTCTCCCCGTCAAAATTCTAGCCATCCTTCAAGACCCGAGCCAAATGCCATTTTCTTTCTCTCTTCCCTTCCCTCCCCTCCCCTCCCCTCCTTTTCCTTTCCTTTTCTTTCCTTTCCATTCTTTTTTGAGACAGAGTCTCCCTCTGTCACCCAGGCTGGAATGCAGCAGCAGGATCTCAGCTTACTGCAACCTCTGTCTTCCAGGTTCAAGCGATTTTCCTGCCTCAGCTTCCTGAGTAGCTGGGACTACAGGCATGCACCACCACACCTGGCTAATTTTTGTATTTTTGTTAGAGATGGGGTTTCACCACGTTGGCCAGGCTGGTCTTGAACTCCTGACTTCAAGTGATCCACCTGCCTCAGCCTCCCCGAGTGCTGGGATTACAGGGTGAGCCCTCATGCCCAACCTCCAATGCCATTTTCTTCTTGAAGCGTCCCACCAGCAGATGTGACCTCCACTGTTGAAACCCACAGTGCTTTATCCTTCCCAAGCCATTCCCTGAACACTGCTTGGGGATTGAATGATGTATGTTTATAATTAACGCACTTCGAGAGCAGGTATCTCCCGACTTCAGCATAGTGCAATCAGTGCACACAGTAGGTGCTCAGTGAATATTGGACCAAATGGAATTGAGCATCCATGCTACACCTGCAGATGGGAGAGGCAGCAAACTCATGTCCCAAGAACCAGCATAACACAGATCTCTCTTATCCTCCCCTTTTTTCTCAATAAGGACAAAATCTGTGCTCAGGGGAGAAGGGCATAGCGTGCCCCTCCCTTCCTTCCTCAGCCAACAGTTTGGCTTCCCTTCTAGAGAGGTGAGAGAAGGTGTGACAGGCCAAGTTTCCTTTGCTCCACCCCATCGTGTTTCCCCCAAACACCCAGCATAAGTTCACGTCTGGCAGAGTTGCTTTCCAGCTCCTGCAGGCTGGAGTCGGCTCACCTGCAGTAGGCACTCAGCACAACTCTGCGAGACCGGCTCACCTGCACCCGGCACTCAGCACAGCTTCCAGCATGCACAGCCTCCCCACTGCCACCCGGGCCACCTTGATCCTCAGCCTGGCCTTTGCCTCCCTCCACTCGGCTTGCTCGGCAGGTAGCGTTATGAGCTTTATTCGTGGCCAGGCTGGGAAGCGGGAGGGAAGGAGGGAAAAGAGAGGTGGGAGGGAAAGGAGGAGGAGGAGGGGGAAGATTCTTTGGCCAGGGTTGGTCCTGCACAAAGGAAGGAGGAAACAGAACTTTCTCATCTGAAGGATTAGGCAGGGGGTGGGAGGTGGGGCTGGGGTGGGGGTGGTCTTAGGTTGGCCTAAGACAGAGATCAGGTACTCAATTCCTCATCTAGGGCAGGAGCAGTCACCTGTCTTGGCCTTCGCCACACAGAAAGGAAAAAGTTATTTGCTGGAGTCTCACCTATCAGAGGACCAAAACGACATCTCTTGGTCCGCTGTGTCCTGAAGGCTCCTTCTCAGCCCCCCTGAGCTCTCGTGCTTTGCAGTCCTCTCTGTGCACATTTGTGTCTGACCTTCCCTTTCCTAAATCCTCTGTCCCTCTCTGTCCCCTGTACTTTCTCTGCGACTTTCACAGAACCTGACTGCCAGGAGGGCTGCCATTCACTGTCTCCCACCCTCCTGCCTCCCCGGGCACTGGAAATGTGGGTTATCTCCCTATTTTCCTACAGAGGCTGGAAGGCTGATCTATACCCGCTGCCTTGCCCTGCCAGGCCGGGGTCTGCAACTCATGGCAGAGGGACCTTGGTTACCATCTCATGGTCCTGGCTTTGATCTTGTTCTCAGCCACCTCAGGCCACCACCACATTTTCTATGCCCTGCAACACTCTCCCACTCCCAAAACCAACCCTGCACTCCAAAGTCCTGTATCTGCCCCTCTCATCCTCAGACTCTCTTCTGCAGCCACTGCCAGGGGTGTTGGTGTTGAGGTTCAAGACGTGCGCTCTGGAGCCGCTGAGCCTGAACCCAACTCCATCTTCCATGACTCACTAGCTATGCGACCTCAAGCAAATTACTTTCCCTCTCTATGCCCAGTTTCCTCCTTTATCTCATGGGGACCATCATAGTGCTTGTCAAGAGGCATTGATATAATTTCATGTAAAGAACTTAGAAATAGCCCATAGAAAATTAGCCAGGCGTGGTGGCGGGCGCCTGTAGTCCCAGCTACTCGGGAGGCTGAGGCAGGAGAATGGTGTGAACCCGGGAGGCGGAGCTTGCAGTAAGCTGAGATCAGGCCACTGCACTCCAGCCTGGGCGAAAGAGCAAGACTTCGTCTCAAAAAAACAAAACAAAAAACAAAAAACCAATAACAACAACAAAAGAAATAGCCCATAGAATGCACACAGTGAATGTCAGCAATTATAGTAAGCACATTCATTTTATTTTCCAGCTTCACCCCTCTCCAAATTAGAGTGCTGTTTCTTTCTACTCACCCTAACAGTGCCTTGCTTGTGATGGGAGCTGAAAATTAGAAGACAAGTTTAACTGCACTGAATTGTTGGGTCTTCCCAGCAGCTTTTCCTGTGGAATAGCCCCAAGTGGGCCAGTCCCTCCCTCGCTTCTGGCTCTGCTTATAAGGGAGGAGGGTGATGTTTAAATTCTTAGGAATTTTCACCGGGGCTATTCCATTTGAACCACAGAAAATTACTGATATCGAACAATTTTGACCTATAACAATGGCAATTTCATAAGCTTGAACCTAACCCTAGCATTCAGCCAACTAGGGTTTTTTTCCACTCACTTTGGAAGAGGACAACTTCCATTCTAGGTGTAGAGGTGAGATGAAAGTCAGGGCCAAGGAAGTTATTTGAGTCATAAGGAAAATTAGAATAGTGAGGAATCAGTTTCTCCAAAACAAATAAAGACCAGGCTCTAAGCCATTTAGCTGTAAATAATTTACAGTAACAGATTGCATCGAGGCAATTACTATACTTTAAGCAGGACATTGGAGTGGCTTGGGGGTTGGGTGGCATAAAATTAGTCTCAGCAGCAATTTCATGGTTTTAGCTAAACAGCAGGTTTCTTCTTAACTCGTCCTGCTGTGTGACAACACGCACCTTTGAAGGACACGCTGACCCATAGTCAGGGGAGCCTTGAGAGTTTCCACACCCACCACCTTTTTTTTTTTTTTCCTTTTTGCATTCCCAAAGAAGCAGAATGAACAGTAATATAATTTCTAGGAAGGTTCTTCCAATCCATCTCTTGGTTTCCATCTACCTAGGTCAGCATTAGCACTGTCTAATAATAGAACTTACACTGAGGGTGGAAACGTCCCATGTCCGAATGGTGCTTCCAATATGGTAGTCACTATTCACATGTGGCAGTGGAACCCTTGGCATGTGTCTAATGTAACCAAGAAGCTGAGTTTTTTACTGAATTTAATTGTAATAAATTTAAACCACCACAAGTGGCTAGTGGCTGCCGTATTGAACAGTATGAACTTAGAGGTCATCTCTCTTATTGTCAGTTATGGACAGGAACCTGGATGCTTCAGATCCCTAACCCAATCCCACACCCCAAGCCGACAGGACTTTAAGAATTCATGCTGAAGTCCTTTTTATCTTTCCACTCCTTGCTCACGAATCAATCTATGTGCCGCGTGTTCTGGCAATCTCTGGGCTTGCTTGTATGATGTTTAATTTTCTTTGACAGCCATCATTCTGGAGGCTGGAAATCCAAGATCAAGGTGTTGATGGCTTGATTTCTCCTGAGGCCTCCCTACTTGGGTTGCAGATAGATGCCTTCTCACTGGGTCCTCACGTAAACTTTTCTCTGTGCATGTATGCTGCTGATGTTTCTTCTTCTTCTTCTTTTTTTTTTTTTAGACGGAGTTTCGCTCTTATCACCCAGGCTGGAGTGCAATGGTGTGATCTCAGCTCACTGCAACCTCCGCCTCCCGGGTTCAAGCGATTCTGCTGCCTCAGCCTCCCAAGTAGCTGGGATTACAGGCATGCACCACCACGTCCAGCTAATTTTTGTATTTTTAGTAGAGATGGGGTTTCACCATGTTGGCCAGGCTGGTCTCAAACTCCTGACCTCAGGTGATCTGCCCACCTCGGCCTCCCAAAGTGTTGGGATTACAGGTATGAATCACTGCACCCGGCCTCTTCCTCGTCTTCTAAGGACCCTGCCATATTGGATTAGGGCCCACCCACAGGACTTCATTTAAGCTTAACTGCATCTTTGAAGGCCCCATCTTCAAATACAATCACACTGTGGGTTAGGACTTCAACATATGAAACTGGGGACAGGGGAACAGAATTCGGTCTATAACAGGGAGTTAGCTTTGTTGCAGAAAGTCTCAATATGCCCATGCTGGAGCTTCTATGATACTTTTATAATACTCACTACTGATTTACAAAAAAATATTTCAAAATCTATGCCCGGGAATGGCTTTTGCTGGTGCCTGAGACTATCTCCCATCTTTTCTTCCAGAAGCAAGCGGCAGCAACAGCTCAACCTTGACCGCTCACCCCCCAGACCCTGGGACCCTGGAGCTGTGCCTCAGTAAGCTTCTCCTGCCAGCTGCTCTAACCCCAGAACTGGCCCTCAGCCTGGGAGGGAAACAAAGGCCTCCCCGCTTTCCGTTGGTTGGTGTCAAGTGGCCAAGGGCCTTCCTGGCCTTCCTGTGCACCAGTGTGGTTTGTCCCAGAACTATTTGCAGAGCAGGTCTAAAAGGCTTTCTTGGCTCTGATCCCCATCTAGGTGCACAATCTTTGACACAGATCGCTTTAATGACCCATCCCAGGTCAGCAGCTAACAATGCCCTAGGTTCAAATGCTTGAAGAAGTTTGGAGGTGGAAAGGCCATAAAAAATCATCTAGTCCAACTTCCACCCAATGCAAGAGCTTGGTTTTGCTGTCCTTGACATAGATATTTCTTCTTCTTCTATGCACGTTCTTCCTCCTCTTGCATACTTCTAGCCACAAGGCACTCAGTAATCCATACAGCAACCACTATTATGCATGTCTAGCTAATAGAAAGTTTTGCAGCTGGGCACAGTGGCTCACGCCTATAATCCCAGCACTTTGGGACGCCGAGGTGGGCAGATCACCTGAGGTCGGGAGTTCGAGACTAGCCTGACCAACATGGTGAAACCCCGTCTCTACTAAAAATACAAAAAAATTATCAGGTCTCTACTAAAAATACAAAAAAATACAGGTGGTGGCATGCACCTGTAGTGCTAGCTACTAGGGAGGCTGAGACAGAAGAATTGCTTGAACCTGGGAGGCAGAGGTTGCAGTGAGCTGAGATTGCACCACTGCACTCCAGCCGGGACAACACAGTGAGACTCCCTCTCAAAAAGAAAAGAAGAACATTTTGCTTTATTTTGTCTGGTTCCCTTTATCCTGCCCTCACTGAATGACCGAATGCATTAACTTGGGCACTTAAAAGGAAGGGTAGGCTGGGCGTGGGGGCTCATGCCTGTAATCCCAGCACTTTGGGAGGCCGAGGCAGGTGGATCACTTGAGACCAGGAGTTCGAGACCAGCCTGGCCAACAGGGCGAAACTGCTTCTCTACTAAAAACACAAAACATTAGCCAGATGTGGTGGCGCACACCTGTAATCCCAGCTACTTGGGAGGCTGAGGCAGGAGAATTGCTTGAACCCAGAAGGTGGAGGTTGCAGTGAGCCGAGATCATGCCATTGCACTCCAGCCTGGGCGACAGAGTGAGACTCTGTCTCAAAAACAAAACAAAAAACAAAAAAAACAACAAAAAAAAAGGGAAAGGTATTAGGGAATAACACATAGAGGTTAAGAGTATGGCTTCAGAGTCCTGCAGACTTGGTTTGAGTTCTCCTTCTTCCATCTTGTGACCTTGGGCAAGTTACAGCCTTAGTTTCTTCATGTAAAATGGGAATAAAAATTGCACCTGTCACTTTGTGAGGAAGGCATAAGCTAATGTGTAAAAGCACACAGCACAGTGCATGGCACGTAGTAGACCCACATCAGTGTCAGCTACCGCGCTGTGATTGTTCTGTTAATATTAATGGTAAAGAAGCCTGGGTGGGACTGGTGGTGCATGCCATCATCCTTGCTCTCCCTTCCCCACCAGACGTGGACTTCTGCCCACAAGCAGCCCGGTGCTGCCGCGCAGGAGTGGACGAGTACGGCTGGATCGCGGCAGCTGTTGGCTGGAGTCTCTGGTTCCTCACCCTCATCCTGCTCTGTGTGGACAAACTGATGAAGCTAACTCCAGATGAGCTCAAGGACTTGCAAGCGTGAGACCCAGGCTCGGTGCACAAAACAGTGATCACCACCAATTTGTGGCTAATGGGGAAGGGGAGTAGGGCTAACATGGTTTCTATTATTTAAGTCATTTTCACCTTTAAGCTTCAGTTACTTTTACAAGGGAAAGAAGAAAGAGCGGGAGAACCAAGTGAGGCAAGCCACTGCTGCCCTTGCATGCTGCTCCCAAGGGCCCCTGGGCCTTCTGAGCCCAGGTGACTCCTCTCTCAAGATAGTCCTTCTGGAATTTGTCCTGTTTTAACCTTTCTTCTAGGCACCAAGGGAGGTGCACAAGAAACTATAAGACTTAGTCTCATCGTCAACATGTTCAGAAACAAATGCATAACCTTCTCACCAAAACCAGGTCATTGGCTTCTCTCCCTGCTTGAGTCCCGGGCTTAACTGTCATTTCAGAATGTGAGAATCAGTCAGGTATGGTGGCTCATGCCTGTAATCCCAGCATTTTGGGAGGCAGAGGTGGGCAGATCACTCAAGGTCAGGAGTTCCAGATCAGCCCGGTCAACACGGTGAAACCCTGTCTCTACTAAAAACACAAAAATTAGCCAGGTGTGGTGGTGCACACCTGTAATCCTAGCTACTTGGGAGGCTGAGGCAGGAGAATCTCTTGAACCTGGGAGGCGGAGGTTGCAGTGAACCAAGATCATGACACTCTGTATCAAAAAAAAATGTGAGGATCGGTCGGGCGTGGTGGCTCATGCCTGTAATCCCAGCACTTTGAGAGACTGAGACAGGAGGATCACTTTAGCCCACAAATTCAAGACCAGCCTAGGCAAGATGGCGAGACTTTGTCTCTATTAAAATTTTTTAAAGTTTAAAATAAAAATGTGAGAATCCCCTTGACACTCCCACCATCTTCACCCACCTCGGGTCCTTCTCCGGCTCTCCTTCTGGCTTCATCCTGTCTTCGACGGCTCTCCTGTCCCACCCATTCTCCCCGCAGGTGCCCTAGGTCTGGCCTTCACTGCCTTCCCCTAGGGATATTGCATTCTGTCCTCACTGCCTTGAGGATCTTCCTCCCCAGCTCTTCACTTCCTATGGGCAGCTGCCAGGATAGGAGCTGTCACCTCCTGCTGGCAACAGTCAGTAGCTCCTAAGGACTAAAACTTCTCAGCCCAGCATTCAGCTCTTTGTAGGAGTCCATGTGTCCCCCAGCACATGCAGGAGTAAGGACTCTGACTGGCCCACTCCTCATCCTGGTGTCTTCAGCTTCCGCCTGCCATTTTCTTGTCTGGGATGGCTGCTTCCCAACTCCACCTCCAGAATCAAGGATATTCCTCCAAACCCAGCTTGAATGCTTGATCTGCCTGGAGCCTTCCTGGTCATCCCTGGGTGACCTGGAGCTGGTGCTCTTAGCGCACTTCTGTTCTGCCCTGACGTGCAGCTGTTGTGAATGGGCCCCTCCGTAGTTTATCCTTCCTCACCCCCCTGGGGCATAGTACCCTATGCAAGTTTGTCCAGCAAGTGCATGGGTGAATTAATGAATGAACGAACAAATGAGTCTTTGCCCTAGACGACTTAAGGTCCTCACTCGGCATTAGGAGCCTCCATTTTTCTCCAGATGGTTGAAATAACCAGCCTCTGAAGGAGCCAATGGTTTGGTCACTGCTCTCTCAAATTACAGTCATTGTCACTTAGCGTGGAGAGTGGACGTTGCACATTACTGTGAACCCTTGCAGAGGAGGGGAGGGCAGGTTTATCAGAAGAAAGGACAAAATGACTCCTTATGAAGCAATTTCTGCCCTCTGTGAGAAAACATGTATTTAGATCAGACAAACTCTAGTCAAAATACGAAAAAGAAAAACGAAAGACCTCTGAAATAGGAACAATCTCTCGAAGAGGCAAATGACTCAAAACTGCTCAATTGCTCTTTCAGAAAATCTAAGTAAACTTCCCTGACAACAGAAACTGAAGAGATTGCCTGGTTCATCTTGTAGTCTTCCAAAACAGCAGATAATTTCTGAATCTCAGATGTTGAATCAGTACAATGGGATGGATTTCTTGTTCCTAAGTGTTAAATGATCACATACATAAAAGTGTCTTAGCCTGAGCAACATAGTGAGTCCCTGTCTCTACAAAAATAAAAATAAAATAATTAGCCAGGCGTGGTGGAGCACACTGATAGTCCCAGCTACTCGGGAGGCTGAGGCAGGCGGATCACTTGAGCTAGGGAGTTCAAGGCTGCAGTGAGCCATGTTCATGCCACTGTACTCCAGCCTGGGCAACAAAGTGAGACCCTATCTGAAAAAAAAAAAAAGTGTCTGCATAATGCCTGGTGCATTTTGTGGATATACAATATGAGTATGTGTTCCATGTTTTTAGAAATTCAAAGGAAGAGTTTCCATAATATGTGATGGTTTATTTCCCAAGAGATAAAAAGAGTCATTAAGGTGCATGCTTTGATTTAACATCTGCAAACATTTAAAAAATATAACAGTGTGTGACATAGCAGTGAGAGTACTATCTTTTTTTTAAAAGGGAAATTAAGATTTATTTCTGGCCTATGTGAACAGAAATAAGTCACTTTATCTCACTGGGCATCAATTTTCTATGTGGAAAATAGAAGAATTGGACCAAATTAGCAGTTTCAAGCTGAGCCGCAAAAGTTCATGGAGCCATTTCAGTCGCTTCATGGAATCGAAGTGGGCATGAGGCCCATTGTTCTTTCCACCTGAGCAGCTTGGCTCTTGTGTCATACATTAAACCTTGTGGTAGGGTCTTCTTTTTTTTTTTCTGCTTTAATAAGTGAAGGATCAGGACACCAGTTGGTGTCTGAGATGTCCTCCTGTCTGGGGAACCCACCCCATAGATTCTTAGACTACCTTGAAGTGAAAAGTATGTGCAGTCTGACATCTCACATTAAAATGTAGGCATTTTGTCAATTGCTTTTTTTTCATATGCACAAGCGAAAGGATAGAATGAATCAATACAACCACTCTTTTCCTTGAGACTATAAAGAAAACGGTTCTCTAGTTTGATGGTTCTACTTCCAGGATGCTACCTCTCAGATTTAGTCTCAACAGAAAATGTTTTGATTACAGCAGACCAGATCTTTATCTGTCAATAAGTTAAAAAAGGTAATCTGGGCTGGATGTGGTGGCTCACACCCATAATTCCAGCACTTTGGGAGGCCAAGACGGGAGGATTGCTTGAGCCCAGGAATTTGAGACCAGCCCGGGCAGCATGGCGAAACCTCATCTCTACAAAAAATACGAAAAAATTATTTGGGACTGGTGGCGCATGCCTGTGGTCCCAGCTACTCGGGAGGCTGAGGTGGGAAGATCATTTGAGCCCAGGAAGTTGAGGCTGCAGTGAGCTATGATCTTGCCATTGCACTCCAGCCTGGGGGACACAGTGAGACCTTGCCTCAAAAAGAAAAAAAGAAAAAAGAAAATCTGAGAGGGAAAGCAGGCATCAACTTCCAGAGATCTAAAAATTTCCTAACTTAAAGCAACAGAACTTACCTAATGGTAGATGGACTTTTCATTTTAAAACTTTGCCTTTAGCAGTGGACACTGTCCTCAATACAGCTACAGTTTATGTAACACAGAGTGCATATGATATGGGGCATGCCTGTATCAAAATGTCGTATGTAGAAATAAAGTATTAAATATTAAGGTGTGGCACAATTATCTGACTTTAAAAATCATCATTTAGTGGCCCAGCATGGTGGCTCATGCCTGTAATCCCAGCACTTTGGGAGGCCAAGGCAGGCAGATCACCTGAGGTCAGGAGTTTGAGACCAGCCTGGCCAACACGGTGAAACCTTGTCTCTACTAAAAATACAAAAAATTAGCCGGGTGTGGTGGTGGGTGCCTGTAATCCCAGCTACTTGCGGGGGTGGGGCAGGAGAATTGCTTGAACCTGGGAGGCAGAGCTTGCAATGAGCCGAGATCGGGCCACTGCACTCCAGCCTGGGCGACAGAATGACACTCTGTCTCAGATAAATACATAAATTACATTAAATAAAAATCATCATTTAAAAATCTATTCCTGGCTGGGTGCGGTGGCTCACGCCTGTAATCCAAGCACTTTGGGAGTCTGAGGTGGGCAGATCACCTGCGCTCGGGAGTTCAAAACCAGCCTGACCAACATGGAGAAACCCCGTCTCTACCAAAATTACAAAATTAGCTGGCGTGGTGGCACATGATTGTAACCCCAGCTACTTGGGAGGCTGAGACAGGAGAATTGCTTGAACCCGGGAGGCAGAGCTTGTGGTGAGCCAGGATCGCACCATTGCACTCCAGCCTAGGCAACAAGAGCAAAATTCCATCTCAAAAAAAAAAAAAAAATATATATATATATATATATATATATATATATTCCTTTTCATATGCATGACACCTAACGCAAACAAAACAAATATACAATTTTTTATAAACAATTAAATTTTACAGCATGTAAGATTAATCAGCTGGACCTGGTGGTGCACATCTGTAGTCCCAGCTCCTGTGGAATCTGAGGAGGGAGGACGGCTTGGGCCCAGTGATTAATTGCTTTGAGGGTGTAATGCCCAGTGATCGTGCCTGTGAATAGCCACTGCACTCTAGCCTGGGTGACACAGCAAGACATTGTCTCTAAAATAAAACAAAGCAAAACAAAAAATTAATCAAAAACAAGTCTTAGGATAGCTTGAGCCTTGTCTTAGTCAGTTTGGACTGCTGTAACAAATTATCATAGACTGGGTAGCTTCTAAACAACAGACATTTATTTCTCATGGTTCTGGAGGCTGGAAGTCTGAGATCAGGGTGCCAGCATGGGTGGTTTCTGGGGAGGGTCCACTTCTTGGTTCATGGACAGCCATCCTCTCATTGCATCCTCATGTGGTGGAAAGAGGGCAAAGGAGTTCTCTGGAACCCCTTCTACAAGGGCACTAATCCCAATCGTGAGGGCTCCACCCTTATGACCTAATCACCTCCTAAAGGCCCCACCTCCAAATACCATCACCTTGGGCACTAGGATTCAACAAGAATTTTAGGGGGACACAAATATTCAGTGTATAGGAGACCTCATTTCTACAAAAATATACCGAAGCATATTTTTAAAGTTGTAGAAATGTTAATCTAGATGTTTCTGATGAAGAAATTGCTCTGTCTGAACCCCAGTATCCATTTTGAAGTCATCTATAGGGGATCTTCCTTGCCATGTGGTAGGAGTGCCTTGTAAACACCCTCTGCCTGGCATCTACTTCCAGCCTTACCTGGCTCCAGCCCCTCCTCCTCACTTCTTCGAGAGTGATTTGTCTAATACATAAATAAGCAATCAAATCACCCCCTTCCAAAATCCTTCTGTGGCTCTGCACAGCTGACAGAACAGGATTTTTACTCAAGGTGAGCCAAAAGAGCTCTGTAATTGGATCTCCAGACATTTCTCTAGCTTTACCTCTTGCATATCCTTCATGCAAACAGGGTTCAAAATGATTCCCATTCCCTAAACACTCTATCCTCCTGGCCTTCATTTTTGCTGTTCACATGGCCTGGAATGTACATACCCTTCCCCAGAGGAAGACCTGCTGTGAACCAAGAGAAGCTTAAACTTAAGGCTCCCTTATTTGAATGGGCCCCTCTGAGGCCCTCAGTTTAATACTGTATTTCTAATTCTGTATCCTTTTCTTTTCTAAAGGCAGCCTCCCCTTAAATGTCTACATT